AACAGCAGTCAAAACATCATACATCTCTGAACTAAACCGTAAGGGGTTGAAGAATGCTGGTGCTTTCAGGGAAAGTCTGGCAGTGAATCACTAATACTTATGGGAAATCTAATTAAGGCTTTTCCATTGATGCTTGAGATACATGTACAGTAAGTAGTAAAGAGACCAGTCCAAAGGTCTGTACATGTAAGACAGATTTTTGGATGACATCAGACTGCACAGACCAAGAAGCGCATAATTAAAAAATGTATGTATACTAGGCAACTGTCACTAAAAAAAGTGTAATAAGTTGGTAGTTCCTTTTCATTGTTATTATAGATAAGTATATGAAGTATGCATAGTAAAGTTAATTACTGGAAGCCTGAAACTAGCAAGGTAACAACTGGCCACTCAATTGGAAGTAAGAACTGAGTAAGTTTCAGCAGCAGAGGTACCCACATTGTTTAGGATTTTTGATGTTTAGAAATGGATTCTGTTCTAACACCTCTCAAATAATTACAAATTAATTATTTGGTAAAATACCCAAAGTAAACATATAGAGGAAACATTTTTCTTGCTTCATTTGTGTCTTGTGGGAGACTTTGCACCAAGAATAAATCCGTTATGTACTCATGTACAATTTCTATATTCCAATTTGGGGTTTCAGTGTCTATTGAACATACTTCAAATGTTGCCATTTTTTTGTGTGCTGCTTTTCCTTTTCGTGGTCACCCTTTAAAATTTGGTAGGTTTTGCAACTACAGTGTGAATCTTTCTTTTTCTGTCATATATATGTCTTAGTGTCCTGCTATAGATAGTAATCAGGCTGTTTCCCTTGCTAAATAGATGTAATTTATGCTATTCCATACTGATTTATAGCCTTGTGTAATCTTTATTAATGATGAAATGATTGTCTTATTACATTGTCCTTTTCACTAGCCTGGCTGATGGGTATGGTTCTGTAACAGCAGGTACTTCTTCAGATCACTTCTGGCTTATGTATTGATATTGTATTCTATACTGTATTTTAATATTTGAAATTAATATTCCCTTAACATCTGAATTCAGATTAGTATTTTCAAGTGTACAGGCATGGGATGCAGATTTGGTCATTTATGATAATGAAGAGCAGTTTTAATTTTGAAACTAAATCATTGAATACTTATTTCATAAAAAACATATGATTCAGTGATGTTGATAGATAATGGACACAAATTCTGCTAAGATTTTGGAGAGAATTTATATGGATAACGTAATAGGGATGTTTACCAAAACTTCAATTAAAAAAGGTGGGCTTTAGAAAGTTGAAAATATTTTAGATTTGAGACAAAAACATGGAAGTTGTACAACAATATATTCAGAATTATTATGACAAGGTGAGACTTTAGAAATCATGCTGTTTGTTTCTATGTAGCTTTGAAATACAGAAGACAGAATCTATATTGGTGGAAATTCTTTAAAGTTTGAATGTTATGAAATCCTCCCTTGTCAGTCATAAAAACTGACTACAAAAATGTGAAGTATGTTGAAGATCAACTTACCTGTGAGAAGAGAACAGGCTAAAGGAGTGTTTCTTTAGGTTATAGGATATTTTGAAGGGCTTAAGCCACAACACTTAGAAAGGTCTAACTAGAAAATTAATATTCCACATTTCAGTCTTTTTAAACTCACAACCGTTGTTTTGGTTTTCTCAATCAAGAAACAACTTTTCAGTTCATCTGACTGAGTTTGGCAAAGTTAGCAGGGAGCCAAATTTAGGCGTGAAGCAGGAAGCTATTGTTAGACTTAACTATGGAAAGACTAACATCTCTGCAGTTTTAAAGTAGCTTTCTATTAGAGTACAATTGTTGGTTTTGCTGTGGTCCAGGTCAAATCTTGCCAAGTGTGCTAAATAGGAAAATAATGTCTGTGATAGGAGTTTCAAAAAGAAATACAATAATTTGAGACACACAGCCAGAAGTTGAGAAGGAAAAAATATGTGATATGTTTGATCATATTTTAACATGTATTATTTGGACCCAGCAGTAGTAAATACAACAGTGATATTTATCCCCATTTATTTTATATCAATTGGTTTTTTGATTTTTTTGAATTTGATTTGGTTTGATTTTAGCAGATGTGACTCCATCCTCAAGAATATTAACTTTTACATTTTCAAAAGAGAACTTAGCATGAAAGCCAGTAAGAATTTCACCTTAGAGGGTTAAATAGCACTAGGTACTTGGAAAGCTGTCTGCAGACATGTTTTGTAGTAGATAATTTAAGTTAGATGTAACCATCAAAACATCAATGTAAGGAATAGGCATTTCTCAAAAGTAATATTACTGAATTTTATGTATGCTGCACAATTAGTTTCTTACCTAGGTCTGTGGTATTATCACTGTCTGATGGTGTAATGATGATTAGAATTTAAGATTCAGAGGCCACCTAGGAAATAGAGTCCTCTCTGTCTTCACCTTCGCCTATTTCATCATCATCATCATCCATTCATCTGTGTTTTGGCCTCCTGTGTAGAAAGTTACACAAATTCTTCAGTGATTAAATTAGTACATTTTCAGATTATTTGCACATTCTTGAAAGTTCAAGTTAAATAAGAAATAAGTAAGTAATAAACAAGAGTTTTATAGTAATTACAAAACTTTGCTTCAATAACCAATAAGTAAATATTCATATTTATTTGTAAGACACAGGAAAGTTTCCATGCTTCTTTAGGAGCATTAATTCTGCCTTAATTTAGCCTTTAAGTCAAGAACAGAGAAAAAGTATGAAAACAAGTTAGCTGTGTGGATCTGCACAACTTCCATCTGTTGCCTTATAACCACCTTAGAGTGAAACTGTAAAGATGTGACAGATTTCAAGCTCCATGTTATTCCTTTGTATAGTTACTCTGCATTAATTACTGTAACAAAACCATTGAAAAAAATTAGCTGTAACAATGATGGGGGCTTGGCAAAGAAATTTTTCCCATTCAAAAATCAAGTGAATGCCCCAAAAATAATGATACACAATATCATTTATTTGCCTTTTGCTTTGAAGGGACAATTGTGTGTTTTTATTTACTTACTTACATACTTAAAAAGTGGTAATCCTAGGGTACCTAAAGACCATCAGAGGCTAAAAAAAAATAACTATTGTGAAATATGTGATGAAATAATAAAATTTTGAGCAGTGTTTATATAATATTCTTGTTGAGCTCAAGGGTTTATCTTAGATGAATGTGGTAATTCAAAATGACGGCATAGTGAAATCTGCATTTTAATGGATCAATGAAAGATTATCATATGAAAATCCAGATCTAGTTGGCTGCCAGTTAACATATCCTATGATTTTATGCTTGTTTTGCTTGACATATAATTGCTCTCTACAAATCAGAATTTTATAATATGTACATTGAAGTATCTCCCTTAATCTACCTTGAAGTCACTTAGCAGTAATTTATGGCTAATTCTGCTTCATAGGAACCATAATTTTGGTAATTTAGATTTGAAAACCATTTGAACTGTAAAGAAAAAGAAATAGGTGAAGCTATTCAGAAAAAAAAAGTTATTAAATTACCAAGTCCTGTGTACAAAGGGAGTCTATGCTAATGAGATTATGAAGAACTTTTTTTATTTAAGATGGACCTAATTCTCTTATTTAAGCAAAACATTTTAAAGCACATTCTATTTGTACGATCCCAAAAGACACAGATTGTGTCAGACAGTTTTAATTCCCATTCTTTTATATTTTCCTATAATTGCTTTGGGTGAAATGTTGCCCTCAGGTCTCAGTCTCAGCACTGAAATCAGTGGGAGTCACATGAGTCCCGCAAGGGCTGTAATTTGGAATTTAGTAGGCAGTGAATCAACGTGATTCAAATCACAAGAGTTTTCAACGTCCGTACTAAGGAAGAGTTGTTTACAGTGGTGAGTCCATGAGATTTCAAATGCTGGTCAGAGCTGATTCAAATAGTCTTTAAAATCAGAATTTAAACATAAGTTAAAAAACCTACTTGAAAAAACACATTTTTTATTAAATTATTAAGATCAAAATAAACATATTCTAATGTAAATTAAAATTAAATTAAGTCAACTTCAGTGTTCCACAAAACCTTGGCTGCTCTAAACACTTAGAAGGTAGTATGGCCTTAAATCTTCCCTCCCACCCCATGCTTTTCTATTTTAGGCCAGGACAGTGTTTTAGGGTGCTTCTGACTCAGGATTTGTGCAGACACAGTACAGTGACAGAAGCCTTTACATTTACACCAGATTTCCAAAACCAGTATGTATACATCCTACCTGCTTTCTACTGTTTAATACACGTTACCCATCCAGTAAATCATTCATTATGGATGTTTATGAAAGCAGAACTTTGTAGAGAGATCTAACTGTGCAATTTATCAAAATAAGTAAGTTTTATATTAGCCGGATTTTCCAGCTTACCATAGTATAGCATGTAAAAGTCTTTTAGGACCTGAATCTTTCCATCCTGCTTATTGTCTGAGAGTAGGCTGCAAAATCAGAGAGAAAGCAACTTATTTTCCAGTAGCTGCATGGGATTTTTACTAGCGCTACCAATAAATAAAACAATACTTTCAATACAATAAAACCTACTTGCATATGCACTAAAACAGCCAATGAATGCCACAGAGAAGGGCTTTTACATACATGTTTTTCTTAACACAAATTAGTCAAAATATATGTTGCACTTAGGAACAGATGGGAAGTTACAGAAAATTAACACTTCATTTTACATCACCTGGTTTTGATTCATAGCCTTTCAGTACTGTTTTTATATAATGATAGTTTGGTGTCCATTGTGTTCTGTATAGAAGAATGAGTTGTCCTTGCATTGTTACAAAATCAGTGCCTAACAGCTCTTACTATGTTTGGTATTTAAACCTGTCTGCATGTACAGATAATTTTGCAAATGCTACAAATAGCCAAAATAGGATCAAAATATTAATATATTTAACAAATTGTCTGCTTAGTAGTTTTAAGGTTTATTATTTATGTTGACGACATATTTTCTCTCTTTTGCAGATTGTAGCTTTGCGTGAACAAAATGCACACATTCAAAGGAAAATGGCAGCTGGTGAAGGGCCTGCTGAATCAGAGCATATTGAAGGAATGGAGCCTGGGCAAAAGGTTCATGAAAAGGTATAAAATGTTAGTTTTCACTGGAATACACCATCAGTATGAGAAATAAGCAGGTGTTAGATTTTTGTAATGTAAATATTTTGTGGCACATCCCTTTAGAATAGTCTGCTTAATTAAACCAGTATCAAAAATGAGCTTGTTTAAATGGAAAAGAAATTTAAACGGGCTCTTTGGTAGAGTACAGAGTTAGACCCAGGACTTATAATAAACTCTGCTTGGAATTTTTGCATAATGCTACAATTAAGAATAATGTATCCTGCTGAGTGATCTTATGCACATCACATACAGAAGGGCAAGGTGTAGTGGCATGGATATGTGAAATAGGGTATATATGCAATAACTACTAATACTAATAAATACTAAATAAATACTAAATAAGTACTAAAACTACTAATACTAAGAAATACTAATAGGGTAACATGCAATAACTACTGCCAGAATAGTCCATAGCAGGATAACAGAGATGTAAAAACTAGAAAAAAGTAATTTTCCTCTCTGATACCTATAGATACTCTTTAAAGTCATACCCATGTTCATATAGAGAGAAATGAAGAGCTTTATTTACTTAGCACATTTTCAATGAGAAATAGGGATATTGAATTTAGATATTTAAATACTAGATATTTAATATTAAATTTAGATACTTTAACTACTTAGCAGCCTAAGTATTTGCTGCTTCAGGCTGAAAGAGAAAGAAAAGGTAGAGAATATTGATTTAGAAACATTTTCTTCTAAGCCTTAGTTTTCCAGTTTGATAAAAACCCAAGTTGTGTATCTTCCTCTCTTGCTTCACAGTTACTAAATTAAAATGCAAGCATAACGTAACATTTGGCAGACAGATGAAATGAGTAAAGTTGCTGCTTGGATCTCTAATTGTGCATTTCTGTCTAATGGCCTGTGATGAACAGTGGCATAAATCATACTTATAAAGAATAACACTCATCATTACTTATTTATTTTATAGACAATCTAATTTACAGGGGTGCATTTGCATGGCAAGCATTAATTTTACATGCTTTGCAGTTTATTTTATGTCTGCATTTTTCTTTGAGTAATCTGTGTGATTCAGAGCCATACAGTAAACAAATACTGTTCAGCTACTTTCCAATTCCTTGCAAAATCTTACTCTTTGACACTTCTGTGAAATTTTGTTAAAACAGTCAACATCCCACTCACTTGTGCTTTTAAATACCACCATGCTGCTTAGCTGAAAACCTCTAATTATAGCATTTCTTTGCAATCTATGTCCTCTGATTTGAGTCAGTGCATGCCTTATTTATAAGCTGAAATAAATGGAAATATCTGTCCTTTAAGAAATCTTCATTTTTAGATATTAATAAAAGAGGAATGAAAGCAAAGAAAAATATTGTTGTCATTTTATATGAAATGTTTGTAGACCATTATGTCCAGAAAAATTCTGTGCTTCCCAGTCAAAACAATTGAAGTTGGTTTTGTTAAGCTGAATTAAAGGCTTGTGCTTTATCACTTTTGTGTACTAGATAGGGAGTTCACAGGAGACTGTATATTGACACCAGGTCACCCAATGTACACTAATTCAAATCCTCTGCAGTAGCTGCTCTCTCTCCTTCCATTAGCTTAGTGCATAATACTATCAATTCCTTGTTATTTTGTGAAGTCCTCACTTTGTAAGCTACTTCCAATTAAACTCATACTCTAAGCTTCCATTTAGAAAACATTCTTTCAACTTCTGTAGTATGCATGGAGAACAATAAGCTATGAGGTAATGGTTTGCACCCTCTTGTAATACAGGAGATCAAGGTTCAGTTTCAGTCAATCTGAGTGAGATCCTATGGTTTAGGTTTCAACTTTGTGATAGTCACAATTATATAGGTTAAACTTAAGCAGTACCTTTAGGTAGTCACCCTATTAATCATGTGTATCTTCTGCGGGTCCTGAAGGAGCTGGCAAATGAAGTTGCTAAGCCACTGGCCATCATATTTGAAAAATCATGGCAGTCAGGTGAAGTTCCCGACGACTGGAAAAAGGGGAAAAGAAGGGGAAAATGGATGACCCAGGGAATTACAGACCAGTCAGTCTCACCTCTGTGCCTGGCAAAATCTTGGAGCAGATTCTCCTGGAAGGCATGCTAAGGCACATGAAAAACAACAAGGTGCTTTGTGACAGCCAGCATGGCTTCACCAAGGGGAAATCCTGCCTGACCAATCTGGTGGCTTCTATGATGGGGCTACAGAACTGATGGACAGCGGTAAAGCAGTTGATGTCATCTACCTGGTTTTGTGTAAAGCGTTCGACACTGTCCCACACGACATTCTTGTCTCTAAATTGGAGAGACATCAATTTGATGAATGGACCACTCAGTGGCTAAAGAACTGGCTGGATGGCCGCACACAAAGAGTTGTGGTCAATGTCTCAATGTCCGGCTGGACACCAGTAACGAGCGGTGTCCCTCAGGGATCAGTGTTGGGACCGGTCTTGTTTAACATCATCGTCACTGACATGGACAGTGGGATTGAGTGCGCCCTCAGCAAGTTTACCGATATCGCCAAGCTGTGTGGTTCTGTTGATAACGCTGGAGGGAAGGAATGCCATCCAGAGGGACCTTGACACACTTGGGAGGTGGGCTGATGCCAACCTCATGAAGTTTAACCATGACAAGTGCAAGGTCCTACACCTGGGTCAGAGCAATCCCAGACACAGCTACAGGCTGGGCAGAGAAGAGATTCAGAGCAGCCCTGCAGAGAGGGGCTTGGGGGTGCTGGTGGATGAGAAAATGAATATGAGCCGGCTTCAGTGTGCGCTTGCATCCCAGAAAGCCAACCGTATCGTGGGCTGCATCAAAAGGAGTGTGACCAGCATGTTGAAGGAGGTGATCCTGCCCCTTTACTCTGCTCTCGTGAGACCTCACTTGGAGTATTGTGTACAGTTCTGGTGTCCTCAACATAAAAAGGACATGGATCTTTTGGAACAAGTCCAGAGGAGGCCACGAGAATGATCAGGGGACTGGAGCACCTCCCATATGAAGATCGGCTGAGAAAGTTGGGGCTGTTCAGCTTGGAGAAGAGAAGGATGCATGGAGACCTCATAGCAGCCTTCCGGTATCTGAAGGGGGCCTATAGGGATGCTGGGGAGGGACTCTTCATTAGGGACTGTAGTGATAGGGCAAGGGGTAATGGGTTAAAACTTAAAGAGGGGAAGTTTAGATTGGATATAAGGAGGAAATTCTTTCGTGTTAGGGTGGTGAGGCACTGGAATAGGTTGCCCAGGGAGGCTGTGAATGCTCCATCCCTGGCAGCGTTCAAGGGAAGGTTGGACAGAGCCTTGGGTGATATGGTTTAGAGTGAGGTGTCCCTGCCCATGGCAGGAGGGTTGGAACTAGATGATCTTAAGGTCCTTTCCAACCCTAACTATTCTATGATTCTGTGATTCTTGGACTTTGCAGGAGATATAGACATGGTAAAGTCTACACAGGCGTTGAAGTAGAGCTTGCCTAGGTTTGCAGAACAGACAGTCCCAAACTGAAATAGGCAATTACAGGATTCCTCAGCTTAAAATAACCTACTGAAAGAGTTAGCCAGTATGGTTCACATGGAATGGAGACTGGACTGTTTTCAGAGTTTTAGGTGTGTCAAAGTTTAGCATCTGTTTTGAAGCTGGAATAACTTTTTGTGTATTTAGGAAAAAGATGACAACATAGATTTCAGCTCATTTATAATATTAGTACTGAATGATATCTATACTTTTGTGGGAAAAAAATCATCTGACTACATTTCACAGCAACACAGAAATATTTTGTATTACTTCAATGCTTAGAAAAGGTGCTAAAAAAAAAAGCTATTACATAGTTTTAGGCTGCTGCCTCTCAAGAGGATAGAAAGAATGGTCCAAGAACCTTTCTGGGCCATTCATTTTCTTTTTTAAAATTTCTTGGAAAAGTGAGACATTGCCAGATAATGGAGAAGTCAAAGTCATGACCAAAGCTGCTTTAGTGTATTTATCTACACTGGTGTTAGCAAAATTATGAAAAAGCTAATAGTGAAAATTGAGAACAACAAAAAAAAAAAGCTCTCCAGAAAATGAAAATAAAGAGAATGCTAAAATGACTCTATAAGTTTTATAGATAGTGTTTTGTAATTTCTATGAAAAGTGTACATATTTTTATGAGACAAAGAATTTGGTTCAAAAGGAAATTGTTTCACAATACCTTTCTTTTTTTTCTATAAAGAATGGCTCAGTACATAATTTGTTTTTTGTTGGTTTTTTTTTTTTTTTTTAATGAGCAATAAGGGAAATCAAGCCAGTTAATCTTTAAGAAGCAGAAATCTTATTAATGGTGACAGGGTATAATCATAAATGGAGACTCATTTCCAAGTATAAATGAAACATCTCAAAAGAAAATAATGATGAAATAGAAGTAATGAGAAATATTAACCATGAATATTTATTGCTTCACCAAAAAATAAAGCCTAAACCAAAAGCAATTGAACAAAAAGGGAAAACTTCTAAGAAAAAATAGAGTGAATGGCTTTTAATTCTGATTTCACAAAATTACAAACTTTGTAAGGCATCTGCTATAGGAAAGTATTAGGGATTTCAACATGGAATTATCCTGATTTAAAACAAAACAGTAAAAACCAAGAAGGAGCTTCTGGGGTCTAGCTTTTTGTGCCTGGAGAAGACTGCAGATTGTACTGTGAGTTGCTTTTATTGGCAGGTGAATGCCAGGTCATTAAACAGATATGGTCACACATGTTCCCTAAGGGGGACTTCAACCAGTTATGTTAAAATTTCTGCTCTATGATAATAGAGCTTCCAAGCTACATCTTTTAAGCATGACAAATTTAAAAGCTAGCAAATATGGAAACTTGCAACCAGGCCAACTTGCACAAATAGATCTTTATAGGACTCTGAAAAATTCTTTAAAAAAAATCTGACAAGATCACCTGATGAGGGAATTCAGCTATTTCTATTATCAGATATTCTTCTCCTTAGATTGGTGACCAGTGGACACCACTTGCTGC